GTATTGTAAAAATAAATGTAAGAATAAATTAGAATTTATCGATGAAGGGGATGATATTACCGTTAGAAAATTTATATTACCATTAGTTAAAATTAAAAAAAAAAAATTGACCATGCAGCAGGCTACGCCTTTTTTTGAATTTTTTTATTTTTATTGTTTCAAATTTTTTTGTTTAGCTCTCTCCCTCCCTTTTTTTTAATTTTTGTTTTATTTTTTTTTTCAATTTTTTTTACAGGTCGCGGGTTAACCGCGGCCCGTGGGAGTGCAACCCGCAAAGCCAGCGGGTTACACCTCATTGGCCCGTGAACCGCCCGCACGGGTCACGGGTCGGCCCGCGGTCCCAGTTTTCACGGGCCGGTTTTCACGGGTCATGGCCGGCCCGTCCGTCTTGACACCTCTATTCGAGCAATATGATTGAGTTGCAAAGATAAGATATATTAATGTCCCAAATGAAAGCATTAATTAACACGTGTCCAACAAACTCAAGTAAGCAGCTTGCAAATAGGAACATGATTCGATTTTGTTAGGATCAACTTAGGATTGCTCTTATTTGCTTGTAAAAACTCACTTAACGGCATTAATTAATTCCTTAGTATACTCTAATTACAACATCTCGCACCTTACTCTCTATATAAACCCTAAACACTAATTTCATATTCATTCACTATAATTCTCTCTATCTTACTTAGTCATTTCCTTCATAAATTCCACACATAGTGAAGCCATAAATTCATCCATGGCAAGCCTTCAAACCAACGAGTTTCACACTCTCTATTCTCAATCTCGCAAGAAAAGAAACCATAAACCAACGAAAATAGAAGAAGCAGCAGCACTTGCCCTCTTGATGCTATCTCAGGACAATAGGAGTTGGCACACTGGTCTAGCCACTGGTCCTGCCGCCTAACTCGTAGAAGACGTACTAAATCCTGCCTCCATCGTTGTCACTACCACTAGTGAAAGAATAGGCGCTTTAGCCTCAGTCGGCGATGACAAGAAATCAATGGAACCCTTTTTCTCCTACTGTTATTGCTTCTCCGCTGGACCAGAATATGTTGTACATTTGTAGCGTGTGCAGCAAGTCCTTTTCGACATACCAAGCACTCGGCATCCACAAAATGAGCCACCGTGATTGGTCTTAATTTGTTGCGAAAAATTTAATATTTTGCAACGTTTTCTGAACATTGCGAAAAATTTTGTACTTTTTTTCCAAATTAAATTATATACGGGCTTAGATGATAGAAACCGAAAATAATCCAAACCCTTACACTAATTCACGCCTCTCTCTATTCACGCCTTCCTCCATTCATTCCTCTCCATTCACGCCTCTTTTCTCTTAATCTCTTTCAATCCTACCATTTCCACCACCACCTCACTCCCACTTACTTCTTCCTTCCACAAAAGCTCAATCGGTTAACTGAAACTAGGGAAGCTCCATAACCGCCAATATAAATTGTCTAGAATTTGATAATACGGGTAGGGAGTAACACTGTAACAGATAAACGGAGTTGAGGAAAAGGGCTTAGCATCGTAGAGCAAGTTATTGTTCAATGTGGCTTTTGTAAGCACTGAGTGGCGTTTAGCTTTCGAATTGTATCTGTAGAAATACACAGAGACATTCACAAAAGGGTGATTAATCTGAGTAGTTTTTTCTATCTGGGTTGGGATTAAAATTGTTTGTGAAGGAAGAAAAAGAGCAGGAAACATGGCTACGAATGTAGTGGTAGTGCAACACGCGGCGATAAACGGTGGCTGTTGCAAAAAGGGGCCGGGATATGCGCTTTCGCTTGAAGCCATGACTGGCTCAAGGGAATCTCTTATTTATGTCACATGTGTTTATACATGTAATTTTATTAGGTTTTTTGCTTTAGCTATTTGTGTATATTTTATAATGCAAAAAAGAAAATCTAACAAAAATCCACAAAAAGAATGCAAAAGTCTTCCAATATGGGCTATGGCTAATCATTTGCTGGAAATTTGTGAGTACTATACAAGAACTGGAGTAATTCCATAAATAATGTAAATCTACTACTGATTCAATCCTTCCAATGATCATGAACAGATTGTCCTCGTATAAATGAGAGGTTCTTTGGTCCAGTTCTTGCAAATCTCCCAAGAGCATTGGTGGCTTTGTTTCATCCATCATCTATACTGGACCTAATGATAGTAGTTGATGCCAAGCTTTTTATTGACCTTGGTTTCTACACGAGTGACAGGTCAATAAATCTTGGCTCTACTTACATCTATGTAGATAAGCTCTTGCACAATTAGACAAATTGTTAGAAACATGTGGCCTTCTTCGAAGGTGGGGGAGACGATCGCGTACATTCCGACAGTCAAGTCAATCAATTGTGTTGGTATATTATGGTGTGAAATGATCAGAATACGTGAGTCACGTTACTATTCGGGTATCGGGAGCTTTAGAAATAACAAAAATGAGAAAGATCAACCTTACTTTCAATGTATAAAAAAATACGTAGTATTATCCCGATATCCAAGGTGTCTCCTCCTAGGTATCACTCAATAAATCATAGGCTACAGGAAATTAATGTTTCCAAAAAGTAGCCACCATAGAGCCTAAGTCTAATCTTGAAAAGATAGACGACGAGTTGATCATTTGGACATCTTCTATAGAGATGCCACATCAATCAATTATAAGATCTTGTACGAAAGATTTCTTGAAAAAGGTAAGGTGGAAAATATTTTCTATCAACAAGAGGCTAACTGCTTTGGATCACTTCTACAGCAAGTTAAAGCACATCGTCTAAGCCATGGAGGTTCGGCCTCTACATGGCACTTCGATAGAGGTTGTGCATCACTTTAACTACCTTGTATGTGGATTCAGTTCGACCAGGTAAAACAATGATATGGAGTATGGGCCTGGTTGAGTTTGCAACTTGTTGCCACGTAGCCATGAATTGGAGCATCCGTAAAAGAGGCGAAACATTCTCTCCCTCACTCCGTACTATCTTAATACCCTAATTTACTGGAATGTGATGACAAATAACATGCTTGATGTACATCGCCACTATCATTCCCAATAGGTAGTTGTCTGATTCTTCTTTCTTTACCGCAGGGTGATAGGAGCGAGAAAGCTTCTATGTCCATTATCTCAATTCCCTTGTCACCCTTTCTTGTTGTAGCTAAAGACAAGTCCAGCTTATGGTTAGAGGGCCCTTCAAAAGGATTGGGACGGATGACGCTTGGAACTTCAAGGTAGCTTTTCCATTTAAATCGGTCTTCCTCATATTGGATTCCATTCCGTCAAGCTCGTCAAGATCACTATCAATCTCAGTTGGTCTACTTATTCTAATTGTCGTCTCATAATGACAAACAAACCCTTTTTACATGGGATCATCTAACATTCTTACCATTTTTCGACATACAACTCATACATAGCACATAAAGTTTTATAGTAATTGAGATCTATAGTTTAATATATTCGAAATTGAGGATATAATATCTTTTGTACCCTCCATATTAAACCTATGTCTGCTACTAAAGCAGTAAAGCTAATGGGTACAACATGGGCAATTCTTTCAATATTTTCTAAACTTAACCTTCATCTCTTTTATGATAATAGTGTACGGTATGGTATTGGATGGGCACTTTCAAGATTAGAGTTCCATATAAACAAATGTATCTAATCATATTCAGAGTTCGTGCATTATTTTCATCGTACAATAGTAAATGTTGGCATATTGTCGAATCACTTAATTTTTTATTTGTCGATCATAATGTTATTCTTCTTTTTTATTTTACTATTCATATTTTACACAACAATCTATATCCCTAATATTTTAAATATTCGAAAATTGATTCAACTAAAGAAAAGTGTTACATAAATGTAAAGATATTTTCAGCCATGCAACTCAGAGGGCATTTTAAGCCATGATTAGTTTTGCTAAAAAATCATTTTTTAGCATATTTTAGTAAAAATTAATGTTGTGATGAAAAAATTGATGACTGTTGAGGATCTCATGAAACGAGTGATTAAAAATGAGTCATAAAAAATGTCATAAGTAGGCTAAATGTGTTCATCCAATCTCATGGTTATAAGTTTATAAAATTAGCCCCTGTTCGGTGTAAATTTAATCTGATTTTTAATAAATTTTAACAAAGCTGTATAAAATTTATAGTAGAAAATTTGTAAATTCGACAAAAGTCTTTGATTAAAATTAATTTTTGATTTTTTAGTTGAAATTAAAATTAGATTTTAATCTATACCAAAGAGTGGCCTATTATGATCCGACAAATATTGTAGTAACATACCCTATGCAATATTTTTGAACTTATTCACGTGAAAAAAAAAAATTTGCCATAGTGATAAAGTGCTTAGATTTTTGGTTCGAGTAATACGATTGAGTTGCAAAGAAAAGATATATTAAGGTCCCAAATAAGAGCATTAATTAACACGTGTCCAACAAACTCAAGCAAGCAGCTTGTAAATAGGAACATGGTTCGATTTTGCTAGGATTCTGATCAACTTAGGCTCTTATTTGCTTGTAAAAACTCACTTAAAGGCAATCATTAATTCATTTGTATACTCTAATTACAATACCCTGCACCTTACTTTCTATATAAACCCCAAGCAGTAATTCCAGATTCATTCAATCTAATTCTCTCTATCTTACTCGATCCTTTCCTTCATAAATTCCACACACAGTGAAGCCATAAATTCATCCATGGCGGGCCTTCAAACCAACGAGTTTGACACTCTTTGTTCTCAATCTAGCAAGAAAAGAAACTGTTACCCCTCAAATCTAAAGTCTTAGGTCAGATCGCCATGTAGATGGCCAGGTAAGCAGCGGTCAGCATGGATAGCCACGCAAGTGCTTAGTTGGAAAGTCAGGATATGTGACATACTAAGTCAAATTCGAAGAAAGGAGCTGGTGTCTAAAGTCTTTGTAATTTCAGAGGTCCCTTAGTGCCAAGCAAGAGTTCTGTCTGAGGCCCCTTTCATGTAGATACTAAGGCTCATCAAAGGTTTCTCTAAGTTCTCTGAAGCCCTATAGCATCAGAAACCCTCCAATAAAGGCTAACCCCGATCTAAAACTGAAGCCGTCGCTACTTCTCATTACAAATTTGGAGATCTTTTAGAAGTGATTGATGTGAAGTCTGCAATAGAGCATGTCAATGTGTCTGCCTACAAATAGAATGGCGGACCTTCTGCCAAACATTAATTGTAAAGAGTTCACGGCGATGTAAGGCTTCGGTCTACGAGATGTCGCTACGTGGATCTGATCCAACGGTCACCACGTCAGCCAGATTAGTATGAATAGCCTCTCTTTGTATAGAAATAGAGAGAGCACTTTTGGAGAACAAAAAGGAGAAAAGGAAGAAGATTTACATACTTTGTCCTACATACATCTCACAAACACGAATGGAAAAGATATATTGAGATTCCAACACCAAGTAATCCATATTCTCATATCTATCCTTCCACATATTCCATTACAAAAGATAGAGTTAGTTTAGGAAGATCGATCGGGCTTTTGTTAATAGTACAAGTGCCGTCGAAATCAAATCGCCGGAGTCCAAATATTTGTATCTCTTGCCGAAAAGTGCCTCCCGTGTCCATTCTAGCTGGACTACCGTTCCCGTCCCGGTTGAAATGCGCCGGATCTGTACTTGAAGTGGCAAGAGTAGGCCCGACATCTGTTGAGCTCATTTTTTGGGGTCAATAGATTGGCGCCATCTGTAGGAAAAACCTACATTTAACCACGAACATACGTGGGAAAAAGGCCAATCTATGTTTCTAAAGTTTGCCGAAGGAATGCTCTTATCCTTCAAAAAGGAGTGTCCTCGCAAAAAGAACTACTAAGAAATTAAAGCCCTTGAAGAAAGGGATAAAATTGCTTATTAAACAATTGAGAGATGAGTTCCATGGACGAGAATGCCCCTAGAAGAACGAGGAAACACCCTGAAGAAGGCCCCAGTAGCTCGCCCGAGGCCTTTAATATGCAGAAGAGGAGGTTCCAGGGGCGGATGAGGGGTTGCAGCCAGGCTAACTAGGGAAATGGCAACAATGGCAGCCAACATGAAGGATATCATTTAGCAGAACCTAGTCATGCAAGAAATGTTGATGAGCATGTAAGGACAATGAGGCTATCAAGCTCCTCAATACACAGCCCCTGAAGATGTCCTTCTTGAGATACAAGCATATTATCAAGAAGAATAGGCAAGCTCATCTACCCCAGGTGCCTAGCGATAGGCGTGCTCATCCTATCCCTCCAATACCCAGAAATGGGCAACGGAAAACTCATCCGATGAAGATCAACCTAAGCGCCATGAAGAGCCTCCGGTCCGTCCCCATAGAAATAGGCGTGAAAGGCAAGACCAGGTTAGATACAAAGCAGGGACCTCCTAACAACCTCCCCAGACCAACCAAAAGGAAGACGAGAATTTAGATTGGCCTTAGAGGTCTTGCATATGGACAATTACAAGATGCATGTGAATCTGAAAGGGGCCACCCCAGTGATAAAATGTAGAGCCTTCCACTTGACCTTAAGTGGATGAGCAGAAATTTGGCATGCCAGACTACTAGAAGGGAGCATCCGAAATTGGCCCAAATTCAAGAAAGCTTTCTTAAAACACTTCACAACTAGCAAGGAAAGAGAAAGACCCATCCAAAGATTGTAAGATATGAGACAATGGCAAGGTAAATCTCTAAAAAGTTTTACTTCATGCTTTACGGATGAAATGATATACTGCATACAAGTCATGGATAGAGAGGCCTTAACTGTTTTAAGATGAGGTTTGGACATGAATTCTCTTTTCTGGAGAGATGTGCAAAACAAAGACCCTGCCTCCTATGACTCTCTGTTGGAAATGATAAGGTACGAAATCCTCAATGAAGAACTAAAAGATCATAGAAATAGGGCCAGCCAAGGTGTGCCGCCTCCACAGATGCGAAGAGGAAGAGGTCTCACTTCCCATCTGATGGATAACCAAGCCCCAATGAATTATGGGCAAGAGCTCGCATCTGTGACGCTCAATGCAGTACCTACCCTGGCCTATGAAGAGGTCAATTCAAGCACTGGAATGCGGCAACGTCAACCCTACCCAAGGAACCTACAAATGAGATGAGGTACTGAACCTAGAAATAGGAATGAAGCGCCACAGTACTGCTCATATCATCAATCTCATGGGCACCAGACAGAGGATTGCTGGGAGGTCACAAGATTTTCCCAAGAAATTTTCCGAATAGGCAGAATCAACAGCGTCGGAACAATGATCAGCATCGACCTAACAGGAATGACCCTCTGTGAAGAAGGGACAACGACACTGAAAAACCCAGAGAAGGCCAAAGGCAACAACGAGGCCCCCCACAAGCAACGAACATGAACCCATTCGAGAAATCGACACGATCATTGGTGGTCCTCACGTGGGTGGAGATTCCAGAAATTCTCAAGGGAATTATGTCAGAGAAGCAATCAACCAAGTGGGAGGGTTTCGCCTCTGATCACTTTTACACAGGAGGATACGATGGGTATACATTATCCACACTATGACGTTTTAGTAATAAGCGTTGTCGTGGCCCGCAACGGCCTGCAAAGAATGTTGGTGGATAATAAAAGCTCGGTTAATATTTTATTTGGTACTACCTTTGATAAATTGAGGGTGGACGACGAGCTGACCCCAATGAATTCTCCCTTATAAGGTTTCACGAGGGATAGCATCATTCCAAGAGACAAAATCACTCGAGCAATAGAGATAGGGATGGAACCCCTAATCGCTCGCCATTTCATGGAATTCCTTGTAGTTGATAACCTATTTACCTATCAAGGGGTACTCGGAAGATCCGCATTAAAAGAACAATAGGCAATAACCTCGATCCACCTTTTGTGCATGAAGTTTCCTACTGAAAATGGCATTGCCATAGTTCGAGGGGATTAGAGAGGAGCTAGAGAATGCTACTCCAACTCCTTAAGAAAAGAAGAACCAAGAACACAAGTCATCTTCACTGACGTTGAGATGGACGACCTCCCTGAACAAGGAGAAGACGTCCTCATGACCGAGGCTCCTGAAAAGGAGGCAGTTGCTGAAGAAACAGTTAGCTTGCAAGAACTGGACCCTCGCATCATTGATTGCGAGCCTCAAATGGCCCCAATGGAAGAGCTGGAAACTTTCGCAGCTGACCCTATAGACCCAACAAAATGCCTACAAGTGGGAAGCAATCTACCACAAGAGATGAATGAGAGGTTGAAAAACTTCTTG